AACTCCCCACTGCCTACCCATACCTGATCAATCAGCCTGTCTACACATCTACCTACCTATAGATCAATGTTTGCCATCACTGACAACGCATACTGCACAAGCAAAAGGGTCCATCTTTGTTGTCTGTACCTCTCGTATACCTGTATCTGTCTCACGCTTCTTCACTGCTACCATGTTAATCACTCACTTTTGGTACACTGCCCTTCCCTTCACCCAAATCAATACTTTTCTCTACCCATCTAGCAGTATTCCGTTCCGTTCCCATCCCTGGTAACCAACAAAGAAAGCTTCCTTCCATATATAAATCTTTCCTTGACTTTTTACAACAGTGAACTAATACAATATTTGTCTTTCTTTGATTGACTTATTTCACTCAGCATAATGTCCTCCAAGTTCATCCACCTTATGGAGTGAAACTAATTGTCTTGATAAGATCAAAAAAACAAAAACAAAACACAGTGCCTTCAAGTCAGACCTGACTCATAGAGACCCCTCCTTGGGTTTCTGAGGCGGTATCACTATGGAAGTAGATTGCCCAACCTTCCTTCCGAAGAGTGGCTGGTGGGTTTGAACCACCAGCCTTCTGGTTAGCAGTCAAATGCAAGTATTATATATGTAAGGGAGAAGAGCATCACTAGAATAATAGGAGATTGTGGTCAGTCAATAGAATAAAAGAATAAAGATATCAAAAGGTCATAAGAATAGGATGTTGAAAAGAAATGAAGTAAAGGTCACTGGAACTGAAAAGAACAAGGAACTATATATCCAGTGTGTTGGATGGGTGGTCCACCTGGCCAGTGCAGTCATCTAGAATGATGATAGAATTTGGAATAGACATAATTCTGATAAAGTGTCAAAGTCTTTGATGAACAAGAAGGAATATGGTAGAGGGAGGCTGACAAATGACAGCAGTAAAGAGGGACAGAAAGTAATTAAGATTCCAAGTTTCAAAGGAAGGAGAATTTTCACATGAGAATAGAAGAGCAATGATTTGGAATTAGAAGCCCACTGATTCAACTTACTGGCTTGAACATAAAAAGTAGGAGAATACATAGTCCTTACTCAAAATGGCCCCAAAGAAGTGATATTCTTGGAAGAAAGTCAGATTTGAGTTAAGACAGAGAGATAATGGGGGGTGTTCTATAAAAAGAAAGAGTGTTTGTAAAGAAGTTGCTTTACATTAGAATCAGTGTGATATGCAAAAGGACTCCATGGAAAGTGGAGAGAGGAAAGTCAGAAGGAGGATGAGACAGGATAGGTAAAGGTCAGAGCTATATTGAGAAGAAAATACAAGAAAGGATTTGTTACTAAAGGTGTCCACACATGAAATGCAAGTTAAACAATTACTGCTGAACATAGACTGGGGGGGAAATCATATTTAAATAAGAAAACAATCCTATGGAATATTTATCCATTCTTTTACCTAAAGCCTGGGCTCCAGATCTTTCTTCCCAGACTTACGTTCAAATCTATGATCTCTAGTGAGTCCTGAATAAGTTACTGGATCGCTTTAAGTTTCAATCACTGGTAGCAGTTCCTAACAGGATTGTAAATACCAAATGAGGGACATGCTTAAAATATGTACGAATTCAATAAATGCCAACTAGACTATGATGTCCTTAAAGACAGGCATATGGGAGACAACCTCAAAAATGTCTTCCATGATCCTTGTCTCCTGGTTTTCCCACCCTTCTGCAGTTCCCTCCCACATTAAATCAGGACTGACCCATGTGACTAATAAAATATAGCAGAAGTAATGGTATCTTGCTTCCAAGATTAGGCTCTCTAATCATTAGCTCTAGGAGAAACCAGCTGCCATATCATGAGGACACTCAAGAGTCACGTAGTAAGGAAGTGAAGCCTCCAGCCAACAGTTACATGGATTAAACTTGGGAACAGATCCTCCAACCCTTCAGATTACTGCAGCACAAGTCAACATCTTGAATACTTCACAAGCAGCTGAACTGCTATCAGATTACTGGCCCTCAGAAACTATATGAAAGAGTAAATGTTGTTTTAAACCTTTATGTTCTAGGGTAATCTATTACTCCAAAATGATAACAGATAATAATAATGGGTAACTAATACAGATTTTAGTAACGGAGAGTAAGGTGCTGCTATAACAAATGCCAAAAATATGGGAGAGGCTTTGGAGCCAAACAGTACAGGTCTTTGAGTAGACTCCAGGTTACAGCTTAAAGGAAAGTGAGGAGAGAGTGATGCTTTTTTATGGAATGTCTGAAATTTTGCAACTCTGTTGCATGTATGAACATGAAAAGTAAAACATGTCTATCTAAGTAGATAAAAAGATTTCCAGGAAAAGCATTAAAGGTCCCCCCTTGGTTTCTTCTGGCTACTTATAGTAAAAGGCAATAGGAGAAGGACAAGCTAAAGGAAAGAAAGTTCAATTTAAAAAAGAGACAGGAATTGTTAGCTCTGAAAATTCCCAGCCTCTCCAGATGACAAAATAAAAAGTGGCTTCTAGACAAAGGTCAACATAAAGGCTTTGCCAGGAAAACATAGTCAAATAATGAAGCAGATTACATGGCTGTCATATCCTTTGTTAAAATCTCAAGAATGATCAAATGCAGAGCCTCAGAGCACCATTCAGATGAACAAGTAGTGTAAGCATATATCTCACAGATCCTCTGAATCAGACAATACAAAAATAAAATACACAAACAAAAAGCTTAGTTGATTCCAACTCATTGTGCCCTACATCCTTATGGAGTTTCCAAGGCTGTAAATCTTTACAGGAGCAGAATGCCACATCTTTCTCCCTCAGAGTGGCTAATGGGTTTGAACTTTTCAGTCAGCAACTGAGCACTTAACTGCTGTGCCACCACAGTTCCTAATGGCTTCACAAGAAGCTGAATGCTTTCTCCCTCATCTGTCTCAGCAGAGGCCCCAGGTAGAGAATGATTTATCTCAAATAAGTTTGTGTATGTGACTTTTGTCTAACAGACAATTAAGATTCATAAGAGACTCACAAAAGTTTTAAGAGAAGTATAGTTGCACAAATATCTCCAGTTTGGATTTGAAGGGACAAAGATAATGCAAAATGTAAAGAGACTTATGGACTCCCAAAATTCTACTGGCTGGAAGAAGGCTGTGAAAACTGCTTAGCTGCAAACAAGTACCACCTCTCAGAAAAGGAAAGATGACTAGCAGGATGAAACTAAGAGCAGAGAGGGCAGAACTAAAAGTGACCTTGAATCACTTTAGGACAGGAATCCTAATCAGGAAATTTCCAACATTTACCCAGCTGGATTTTGGAACTGCTATAGACCAATAACTTCTGTCTACCTCCCATTTTTTGCCCCTTTTTAATAAGAGTGTCTATGGAGGTTACCCTTTGTCTATCCTACTAAGTTGGGTGGCAGAAAGACAATAACTTGTTTCTTTAGTTCATAGGTCTACATATCAAGAGAATCTATGCTTGGGGAGCTATACTTAAGGAATTATGCCCAAGGAACCTTGGGTTTGACTCAGATATTACATTCTGGACTTTGAGCTGATATTGTAATAGGATGAGATTTTGGTGGACTTTGGAAAGAGGTATCTTCTGCATGTGGAAGAGATGTGAATAACTGAGGCCAGAAGGCAGATGGTGGTCACTAGACTCACAGATGGCCCCTATTATGGACTGAATTATGTTCCCACAAAATATGTGGTAGAATTCTAACTCCTGTGCCTGTGGATGTAATCCCATTTGAAAATAGTTTTCTTTGTCATATTAATGAGGTCATTACCAGTGCATGATGTATCTTAAACCTAATCAATTCTGAGTTATAATGAGCAGCATAGACACAAAGACGAGAAAGCAAAGCAGGGGAAAGACAGATGCCACGTGGAGATAATCAAGGAGTTGAGGAATGTCAAGGTAGAGAAGCTCAGACAAGCATTTTCCACCAGAGTGGCCAGAGAGAGAGCTTTCCCCTAGAGCTTGTGCCTTGAATTCAGACCTCTAGCCTCCTAAACTGAGTCGGAATTGAATCGATGGCAGTGTTGTTTTTTTTTTTTTTAAACGATGAAAAAATAAAATTCTGCTCATTAAAGCCACTCACTTATGGTATTTTTATGTTAAGCAGCACTAAAACCAAAATGAACTCACTGCCATCAAGTCGATTTGACTCATAGCAACCCTTCCTTGAGTATCTGAGGCGGCATCTCTGTGGAAGTAGTTTGCCCAATCTTCCTTCCGAGAAGTGATTGGTAAGTTTGAACTGCCAGCCTTCTGGTTAGCTGTCAAATGCCTTAGGCACTATGCCACCAGAGCACTAGGCTACTAAAACACCTCCAATAGCCCCACCTTCTGGTATTTACACCATTGTGTCCTCTTCCAGCATTATGCCAGGGTTGATTTGCACCACTGGTAGAACGTGGTAAAAGTAATGGGATGTCACATGTAAGATTAGGTTATATATGATATTGCATCTTCCATCTTGATTTCTGTTCCCCAGATGAATTACTTTGGGAAATGTCAGAGGCCACATTATAAGACACTCAAGTAGTCTATGGAGAGCCTCAGTCAAGAAACTGAGGACTCTAGCCAGTAAGGAACTGTGGCCTCCTGCCAACAGCCATGTGAGTGAGTCCCACATTTGTAAAAAACCCTAAACCAGAACCAACGAGTTAAATTAAATGTGGAAGTTGTGTAAGATGATAAATGTCTACTGTTTTAACCTGCTAGATTTTGGAATAATTGGTTACACAATAGTTAACTGATACAAATACTATGTCTATTTTGTTCCTTTATTTCTGACATCCTAGTTGCTCAACAATTTTTGCTAAATTGAATTCGTTTTGTTTTCCTTTCCTTCTCTCATCTGGGTTTGTCATTTTCTCAATTCCATAAAGAATTTGAGGTTTGAAAAATTATTTAGGAGACAGTATAAAAAAACCTTTCCATAACTAAACATATATTTAGTTGTGTACTGCTGCTGCTGCTGCTGCTGCTGCTGCTGTTTACACTTTAAAGGATATGTAGTCCAACTTACCTTCAAAATGAGCTTGATGGGTTTTTGTCTTGTCATCATTTTCTATTTTACTATAAACAGCTTTTACAAATTTTAAGCAAAGATATGCCTTGCTGGAAAAACTATCAAGCCTAAAAACAGTGTGCAATCACAGATGTATCCATAAAAAATATCTGTCAAGTACATTTTATGATTTAGAAGAAAGCTTATTGCAGTTTTCAACTTCCTATCAGCTATTCCTACATCTGTTCTTTTTTGTAGTTTGAAACACATACAGTCACAAAACGTTAAAGGCCTTTGATAAACCAACTGATTTCTTCTTAATCAGTCCATAAAGTCAATTTTAACAGCTATCTTTAAAATCTGCACTAAGAAAAACCTTTATCAAAGCCTCAAACCACATGGAAATCACTTGAAAAGTATGAATGTCAAGAAAAAAATAGTTTACTGATTTTAAATAAATGTCAGTATCTATGATTTTCCAGAAATTAGAAACTGTTAACATAAATGTTTAGAATGCCAAGTAGTAGCATAATGCTGACCAAACAGACTCTGCATATTACTAACTATATTGTTCATCCAATAGGCCATGCCTCCTACTAGCTTATTTTTTCATTTGTAAAATGAGACTAGAATTGTAATAAAGCTGTTATGAGGATTAAGTGCAATAATGTATGGCAGTGCAGTGAATTACTTAAAATGGCCCTTTAGCCACGCATGGTCTGGTAACTCCCATAAAATGACTGGGTGCGACTATGCAAATAAGGTGTTTCTGGTCGACCAAGGGGGTTGGATAGCATGCTAATAAATGCAAATAAGGTACATGGAACTCTTGTAGGGGTGGGACCATGCAAATAAAGTGTATGGAACCCTAATGAGGGTAATGGTCACTTTTGTCATCCGGCTAGGCTTAAAATGAGCTCATCCTAGAGGCATGAGAAGTTATCTCACTACCACCAAGAAGAGCCAGGAATGGAATTCATCATTTGGACCCAGGATCCTTATGTTAAGAACCTCTGAGACCCTGAAGATAGAGGGAGCTATAACACTGGAGACAGCAAGAAACAGCAGCAAGCCTGGCAGAATTCAGCAGCAGAGGAATGGCAGCAGCAGAACCAGGAGACTGACACTAGACAGCTGCAGTGGGCTTCCCTGCCCATCAAACAAAGCGGCTACAGTGAGTGTGCCAATCCACAGAGCAAGAGAGCAGAGTGCCTTCAGGTAGGAGGCTTGCAGCTGGAGTTGGGTGCCTCTGTGTACTTGGCAAAGCTAGGCTCACTGACCTATGGAGTAAGAGTGTTGAGCACCTTCAGGCAAGTGGCTTGATGGTAAAGTGGAGAGCCTCTGAGCACTTATCAACAGAGCTAATATAGTTTTCTAACACTTGCCCAAACAGAACAGACGCCAGGCTTCTGAGAAAGGAGTCTGTTCTGAGAGGGCCCAGAGGCTTGTCCTCAGGGTGCTGAGGGAGGCCTGCACAGCCAAGAAAAGCTGAGAGAGCTTTCGGGCACTGAAGAGGGGAGACTGCACAAAAGGCATGGGGATGACATCCTCCTCTGACCTCCTCTAACCTCATGAGAGGGACAGAGAATCCCCAACAGCAGCCCAAGGCTTATTCCTATGAGATCAGATATAGCCATCCTCCAGCCTTTTTACCAATTCTGAGACCAACCACCCATCCCATGGCACTCACTACTTCTCTGCTGGGTTTGATAATTTGTTGCAATGGCCACAAAAAACTCACAGGCAATAATGATGATTATGAGATTTATTACGGAAGTAACAGGTTACAACTCAAGTTCACAAATGTTCAGGAGACAATTCTTTGATCAGGACAGCCTTCCCTCTGCCATGCCCACAGGCAGGTCTCTGTTTGGCCCTCGGTCTCTCAGCCTAGCCTCTGCTCTGCTCAGGCAAGGTTCCAAACCAAAAACCAAACTCACTGCCATCAAGTTGATTGCAACTCATAGCGACCCCCTTTGGGTCTCCAAGATGGTAAATCATTATGGAAACAGATTGCCCAGTTTTCCTTCCATGGAGTGTCTGGGTTTGAACTGCCAACCTTCTGGTTAGCAGTCAAATGCCTTAGAAACTATACCACCACAGCACAAAGCTCTTTTAGCTCTGCTGGTAGGTACATGTAGGTGCAACACATTCCACCAGCAAGTCTCTTGCCCCAAAGCACTCAACTTTCTTCCTCTGTGGGTCAGCAACCCTGTCACTCTGCATCGTGCCAGTCTCTTGGTCATGCCAGTCTCTTTCTGCAGTCTCTCTCAGCCATCTCTCTGCCAAAGAGGTCCAGTCCAAGGATCTCAGGTCCATGGATACGCTCCACTCCACTTCCAGCTCTTCACTCCTGAAGGCAGTGAGATCCCCCCTTCTGCCTCTAGGAGGGCACACTTTACACCTAGTGGAATGACAAAACTAACCAATCCGAACATTAGGGTTCCATACACCTTATGGCAATGGTCCCACCCCACAAGGGGGCCATGTACTTTATTTACATTATTAGCAAGCGACCCAGTCCCCTTGGTGGGCGACAAACACTTCATATTTACATAGCTCCACCCAGTAATCTAGTGGGAGTAACAAAGACCATGGCTAGAAGAGCCATACCAAGTAATTCACTGTACCACAGAGACTTGGCCCACGTGCTTCCGGATCCTTATTTCAAGTTGTAGCCTATTACTTCCTTAATAAACCCCATAACTGTAAGTATGTTCTGTGAGTTCTGTGTGGCCACTGCAATGAATTATTGAAACCAACAGAGAAGCAGAGAGTGCCATGGCCAGGATGGCTGGTGTCAGAACTGGTAAAACTGTTGAAGGGTTGGAGGTTATTTTTAACTTCCACCTCATAGGAACAGTCAGCCTTGGGCTGTTGATGGTGATTCTCTCTCCCCACCTCCTGAAGTTAGACGAGGCCCGTTGCTCTATTTTAACACGTATATAAAGGGATTAGCATGAAGCTAGCTCACGATAAATTTCTCCACATCTTCATCAACATTTTTTATTTTTTGTGTTTCTCATAACAGCCATCCTATTAGGTTTGACGTAGTATCTCATTGTTGTTTTAATTTGCATTGCCCTGACGACTAATGATGTTGAGCATCTTTTCATGTGTTTATTGGCCATTTGTACATTTCTTTGGAGAAATGTAAAAAACTGTAACTAGAATGATAATGTGGGAGGTTAACATCAAAAAGACATTGTTTGATAAAAATTAATTAACTAAACAAGAAAACAGAGGGTGCCAAGTCTACTCAATGGGGAAAAAATAAGTTCTTAAATAAAAACTAGATCCCCACATGCAAAACATGAAGTTGTACTAACACTTCACACCATATATAAAAATTAACTCAAAATGGATTAATGACTGTGTTAGATTGGGTTCTCTAGAGAACAAAAACCAGTATATATAGAGAGAGAATTTTATCTTAGGAAAAAGGGTCACACACTTATAGAAGCTGGCAATTCCCAAGTTCTTGGACCAAATGTCAAACTGGAGGCGTTTCTGAACTCACACAGCTGCAGGGGCTGATGAGCTCAAGGTTGGCAGGAAGTATACTGCTGCTGACTCCAGCAAATGACAAATCCAGGATCACTAGGCTGAATGGTAGATTGTTCACTTATGGACAGTTGAGGCAGCACAACAGAATCCAGATCCACAGAAGAGTCTCTCATTTTCCCAGGATATCCATATATATGTATATA